ATGCCCTGGGGAGTCCTATCTGGGTAATCTGCACTCCTCTCTCCAGCTTTAATTCAGTTTTCTTCTCCATGGAGAATTCTTTCCTTCTTGTCCCTGGTTGAGATTAGAGATCTATTCCTGAAGCACTGGAGAATGTATGGCAATTATATCATCCTCCAATTATCTGGAAATTATCCTAAATTAACATCCAAAAGACACACATTGCAGGGCGGGTGAGGTGGGGAAAAGATTGTGCACCTGTAGGCTAGCAAAGGGTTCTGCTGAGTTTTTAGAGATGATGCCACCTGTATGCTAGCATCTATGTATTGTGCTCACTCACTGAGTGCTACTGAGTGCAAGGCCATGTGGCAGGCACTGAGGTAACAGGAATGGCCACTGCAGAGTTCACAGCTACGAGGGCCAGCAAATTCACAGATGACTAATTCCATAGTGCAACTAGAAAATATACACAGGCACTACGTGAGCACACAGGAAGGTGAATGTTGGTCTCCTTACAAGGGCCTCTGAAAGCTTCACGAAAAAGGTGACAGTTGGGCTGCACCTTGAAGTAAGAGTCTGACAAGTGGAGAACAGGGACTTTCCAGAGGAACAGTATAAACACAGGCATGATGTATTTCCATGATGGCCAGAGGCCCTAAATGACTGGAATAGAGGATGAATCCAGGAAGAAAGGATTTAGGAGGGTGATGGGAAGGTAAGCCTATTAATGAAACTTGGGGTGAATGGGAGGAGTCCTGAACATCATACTGCTAAAGACACTAGTCTTCATCCTGCAGGTAATGGGGAAGCCTCCTGAGGTTTGTTCTTTTGTTTCTACCTAAGGTTTTTAGAAAAGTGGAGTGACATGCTCAGATCTCTGTTTTGGATTAACCGGTATTTTAGAATAAGAGATAGACTAGGAAAAATAAGAGAGTAGAGGCAGAGAGACCAATTTGGAGGCACATGCAATGCTCCCAGTTAGAAATTAGAGCCAGAATTAGAGCAGTGGAAAGAGGGAGAAAGGAATGGCTGAGACATTGGAGGCTAGAAACAACAGGCCCTAGTGAATGATTGAATATGGAGGGTGAGGGAGAAGCATCAATCCAGGAGTCAGAGCTTGAGAAGCTGTACTGCCAGCAGTGCTATCACCCAGAATTGGGAATGCAGGAAGAGGAACAGGTGCAGTGGGTGTCAGTTTGGATGCTCTGAGTTTGAGCTGCCTGTGGAAATTACAGGTAGCAATGATATGTAATTAGCATTCTACATATGGAGCTCTGAACTAGACACACAAATTTGAGAGTTATCAGAGAACAACTCAAATTGAAGTGTGGTTTTCATAATTAAAGCTATTACCAATATATACATTAGGGTTTTGTGATTGTGTTTCTGCTGCTTGTATGTGTCCAAGTCAGAGTATCATCAATGAGTATATATGTTTATCTGTGCTGACAATGTAAAATGAGGATGACACTAGCTACCACGTGGGATTGTTACAAGGATTAAATGCATTTAGTCAGCATTACGGAAGGGCGGTTGTTTTTATTACTACTACATGGAGTGGTGTGTATGTTTGAAGATTGCATGCATTAGCTTATAGCACGAGTATGAGTCCCACTCACCTGAGCAGCTTCTCTCCCCACTTACAGCGGCATCTGTTGAGAATTCCTGTGGAGGTGAGGGGGCAGGGAAAGGAATATGTGGCTGTCTAAGCTGAGACATGGGATCAGAGATTCCAGTGTTGGGGCAGGCTGGCCTGGGGGGTATTTCCCAGATACAGGACACAAAGGCAGCCAAAGTCAGCAGCTGGCCACAAGTCTGAGCCAGTATTACCTTACATGGGCTTAGGAGAAGGAACACTCAGCCAAAAAAAATAGGCAGAGCAAGCATAGCTAGACTCACAAAGAGCCAAATACATATATGTAAACATTAGACACAACCCACTGATATATGCATAGTGAAACCAGGTGGATACTTGGGGCAATGTCCCCAGTACACCCTAAAGTCAGAAACAACTGATATTCAATGCAAATCAAATATGGGCAGTTTCATAGTTCTAACTCTCCTCTATACAAAGGGCCTCCCAAGTCCCCAGACAGGTACACAGCTAGTACAGACATTCATACAAACCTAAGGAATAAACATGGAATTGGTAAAGTAAGAGATATGCTAATGACACTGGGTAACTACAGGGTAAGGGGAGGTGCCCAAATTCAGGAAGGGTACAAAAAGGGTAAGAAAGTTGGATTGGAGTACAAGAGGCATCTGACAATGGGAATGAAGTGGGAAGAGAGGGCCTGGGACACATCTTTGGAGGAAGCTGCTTTTCTGGAAGGCTTTTGTAGTGTGGGATGAGGGATGGGGCACACATACCAAAGAGGCTGAGCCCCTCCTTCAGTCCACTGGCCACTTTGTACACTGAGGGGTGAGACTCACTCTTAAATATCTGCAGAACACTGTCAGGGAGAAATGGGGGAGTTCCTGGGTAACTTGGATTTTTTTTTTTTAATCCTCACCCAAGTATATTTTTCCATTGATTTTCAGAGAGTGGAAAGACAAAAAAATATTGATGTGAGAGAAACACATCCATTGGTTGCCTCCTGCACGTGCCCCAGGCTAGGGAGGAGCCTGCAACGGAGGTACACGCCCTTGACTGGAATTAAACCCTTGACTGGAATTAAACCCGGGACCCTTTGGTCCTTGGGCCAACGTTCTATCCACTGAGCCAAACCAGCTAGAGCTGGATTTTTAAAGGGAATTGAGAAAATAGAAGGGGTTGAGAACATCCTGCTGAGATCAAGTCTTGATGTAAGTTTTGTGCTTCACTTCTCTCTGCCTCAGTTTCTCTCTTCAGAAAAGAAGAGTGACACCTTCATGCTTTTCTTCTTCTCTCCCACTAATTCCCACTTCTTCTTCCTTCACGGAGGTTTATCCTAATAGCCCCAGGATTAAAAAAACTGGAGCCTCATTAGGATTATTAGAGCATTAAGCTTAATCCTTCTCCCTTCCCAGAGATGACAGCCTGCCTCCATCTCCTTACCTGTAAGTATCTTGATCTATGCTCACTAGATGGGTCCTGAGGGCAAAAAATAAGCAGAAGAGAAGGTGCTGGGGTATGAGGTCGGAGTTCTTTTCTCAGTTTCATCCCCTTTGCCCCACCTTCCAGAATACTGTCTCAGGCTTGTCCCCCAAGCTACACATCCCCTCAGGTGCTCCAGTGTGTCCTAGAGCACTTTACCTGATAGGACACTGCCCACCCCTGCATCACTACCTCCCACTCCACCCTGTTACTATTCAGACTTCCCATCTTACTTTAGCTGAGGTTAGGGTAAATCACCTACAGCACAAATTTCTTAAAGCCCAGGATGGGAACGCTGACGTTATAGTCTTCCAGTTCAACCCCGATTCTTCTTCGACCCAGGAACTTGAGCAGCCCTCCAAGTGCTCGAACCTGAGAGAGGATCAAGAGTGGAGCTGAGGGCCCGACCGGTGTGGCTCAGTGGTTGAGCAGTGACCCATGACCCAGGAGAACACTGGTGAGATTCCTGGTCAGGGCACATGCCTAGGTTGGGCTGGACCCCCAGTGGGGGGCATGAGGCAGCTGATCAATGATTCTCTATCTCTCTCCCTTTCTCTGAAATCAATTAAAAACTTTTTTTTTAAAGGGTGGAGCTGGGGTAAATCCCAATGTCTTGAAGGCTGGACAATACCAGGGGAAGCTATTATTTTCCAGGGCTGGGCTAGAAACTCCCAGGACTCAACCCAAGGACTGGGGTGCTTTTGCCTTTCTCCAACCTGTGGCATCCCAGCCCTGACTTCCCAGGGCCCCTCTCACCATGAGAAGGCAGTCAAAGGGAATTATGGAGGAGAGGTAGAGAATTTTCTCAGTGGTGGTCATGGAGTCTGGGATAAAAGAGTAGTTTCCAGAAAGGAGGCGCTGTTTGCTTATCTCCAGACCTATTTTGGAAAGAGAAAGGTCTTGTGATCCAATTTTTCACTCTATTTTAAGAAAGAAAATAGAAGACAGATGATCTGATTTGCCAAGTTTACACAGGCAGTTAACGGAAAACTGAAACAAATTTTCAGATCCTTGGTCTAATTATCTCTATATATAAAATATAAAGATGTTTGGCTTGAGATCACAGCCTAAGAAATCTGTCTGGAATTGGGGTTTTTTGGTGAAAAAGATCATATAAGACTAATGTGTTAACATCTAATTAGGAGAGAACATTCCGTCTTTTTTGCAAATCAGGGAAGGTTATGGACGTGCCTTAGGGATCATCAAGGTCATCGAGGCAAGTAGCTTCCCTCCCACCCGAACAAAAGCTTTGGCTTAAAGGGGGGAGAATTCCAATTCCAAATAGTGTCATCACTCTCTTCTCAGGGGCGGCCGCATAGACACACCGAAGCGGAGGTTTCATAGCAGGTGCAGGTTATTGAAGGGTGGGGAGCAGGAGAGATCCTGAGGAGACTGGTCATGGCGCTTGGAGGACACAACGGTTCAGGTGAGATAGGGCCGAGGAGAGACCTCTGACGATGGGGTGGAATTAGGAGAAAGGATTGGGAAACTGGGATGCGGAAATGAGCAACGCAAAAGGAGATACCGAAATCCACACTTGGCAGAAATACGATTTCAGGTCTCTTAGGCTCTCCGTGTTCCTGCGAGGCTGTGAGGGAGGCAAAGAAAGGGCCGTTAGCCTGTACATTTCAGTCTTTCTGCCTCTCCCTTCTCTCACCCTGACTCTACCTCCCTCCGAGACCCTTTCATCTCCTGTAATATCCCACACTTCAGTCCTTCCTCGTTTTCCTTCTCAGCCTCACCCAGTCCTTACCAAGCTTCCCCAGAAACCGGGTCATGTTCTCATCCTGTTTGGCACTGGTAACAACAGACCGGGGGCTGATTTCATCCAGGACTTGGAAGGAAACGCAGACCAAATGAGTGACAGGATCTGTATTTCCTAATTCCTCTCCTTGCTGTCTCCCTCCCCACCTCAGAAGCGCATTTCCTCTAAGAGCAGGGAGAGCCCACCAGCTGGGAGCCTCGTCGGGAGTCAGGCATGAGAGCTAGGAAGGGCGGGTAGCAGACGGTGAGGTGGGGTGGGGGGGAGCCCTGGAGTAGGAACCCCAGAGGGCAGGCGTGACTGGTTTGCCAGGACTGTATCCCCGCACCTGACACCTTGCAGACACCTCATAAATATCTGCTGAATCATGAAATGGAGTCTTAAAAGCGACAGACCGTCCTCCGGACGTCAACGGATCACCCCGACCGAGGCCGGGAGCACTGCGGCCCGCCCACCTCTCTGCAGGAGCTGCAGGCTGTCGCGGTCCGGGGCGTCGGGCATGAAGTGCACGGCCGAGTAGCCTGGTGTTGAAATAGGCCAAGCCCCAGTCAGCCGGCGCTTCCCCAGCCCGACATGCGCGTTTGCGCGGAGGGGGGGAAGCGGGCCTCCGTCACCGTTCCCTCAGCTCTGAGGTCCCGCACCCGGGGCGCCTGTGAAGCCGCCAGCGGGGGGAGCGGCCGCCCCCCTCCCCGCCCCTTCTTCCAACGCCCGGACGTCCCGACAACTCGCGCCCTCCCCGGCCTCGCCACCCCGGAGACCTCCGCCGGCTCCTCCGCGTCGTCCTCCGCCCCCGCGGGGCCCGGCACCGGGGCCGGGCTGGGGAAGCTGGCCGCGGCCGCCCCGGCTCCCGGTCCCTGCCGCGTCCCGCCGGCGGTCGCTCCCACCGAGGCCATGGGCAGGGAGGCTCTGCGCTGCGGAAAATGAAGGCGGTTCAGGAGCGAGCGCTCACCGCGAGGCGGGCGCAAATGCACAGGGCAGTCTGGGAGGGCTGAGGCGAGGAGAGGTCACATTTATTTCTGTCATCTGGGGCATTTCGAGGGGCGACCTCTCAGTATTTAAAGGACGGACAGTCTGTGGAACCCCCGCCCCCGACATTCCTGTCACGCCGAGGTGGCACTGGGATGGAGAAGGTCTGCGGGCCGCGTGGGCGAGCTGTGCCAGCCTCCTCTCCCGCCCCTGCCAGCCACGCCCCAAGGCCGGGCCCGCGCTCTAGGCTTCCTACCCCACAGGCGGACAACTTGCGGAGTTTTCCCGCCTTTTCTGTCCCCGGGACCTCGACGTGCGCGAGACCGAGCCACTACCAACCACAGGCCTGCAGGAGGAGCTCGCGGACGCCAGGACGGGTGCGCGCGCAGAGACCCCACCCCCTTAATCGCTATTGGTCGGAGAGACCGGGATCCTGCCTAGAGCGCCAGCAGGACGGGAGGGGGAGGGGGGCGCCGTCGCTAAGAAGGCTGGATGCTGATTGGCCTGTTCTTAAATGGGTGGTGCCAGGACGTTCAAACTTCCCGCCCTCGGCCGCCTCTCAGCCCCTGGGCCTCTGCCCCAGGGTTTCCGGGATCTGATTAACGCGGGGTGGAGCCTGAGAGGAGGCCGGAAGCCGAGCTCGAGTCCTGGCCTAGGAAACTGTTCTGGGGGCTTTGCCGGGGGAGGGGGGAATGGGGGAGGAGAACGACTTTAAAGGGCCAGAGGCGCATTGTTTTTTCTGGAGAGTGGAGATAAGCAACAATAATTCAACTGTGTCAACAACTCTAAGTTAATATTTGTTCCTCTTGGTTTATTTATAAAGAGCTTAGAACAGTGCCTGGCAAACGTAGTAAGAGCTATGTGTTATAAATAAATAAGCAGAAATAAGTGAGACTCGCCCTAGCTGGTTTGGCTCAGTGGATAGAGTGTCAGCCTGTGGACTCAAGGGTCCCGGGTTCGATTCCGGTCAAAGGCACATGACCAAGTTGCAGGCTCGATCCCCAGTGGGGGTGTGTGCAGGAGGCAGCCAACCAATGATTCTCTCTCATCATTGATGTTTCTAACTCTATCTCCCTTCCTCTCTGAAATCAATAAAAAATATTTAAAAAAAAGAAAGAAGTGAGACTCGTATCTCAACCTCCTCTGCCGATTTCCTGGGTACAGTGTATGAACACCCCACGGGGGCACTACAGGGCCTAAATTATCATTTTAGGCCCACCCCACCCCGAAGTGAAAGCGTGGGAATTGCACCCAATTCTGACAGAGTAGACCTGATAAGAACACCTACACTCCTTTGGGGACATGCCCCACCCCTGGGCACACACCCGGTAAGGACAGAGGGGTGCCGTTCATTCCTACAGCAGCTATATAGTCCTACTCTGGGTGGTGGACTCAAAGCAATGAACACAATTAAGTCTGAGCTCCATGAAGCTAACTTTTAAGTGTGTGTGAATGTAGGAGAAGCAAGGAGATAGATTGTGAACAGAAATAAACAAATGTATACCTTTAAGAAACATCCCTTCAAATACACATTCCTCCCAGCTTTGTCCTGGGTACCGAGATGGGGAGATCCCACCCAAGACTTTAGGAAAGATGGTGGGGTAACCTGGCTCTGCTGAACAATGGCTGGAGAGCCCCCTCTGTGGGGAGAGGTGGGGAAGCTAGTTAGGGCAGGTTAATGGTTACCCTCGGCAAACTGTTGAGCAATGGAACCATGGAAACCTGGAGGAGGCTGTGAGGCGTGTCTGAGTGTCTGGGAGGGACACACCTTCCAATCGGGTGGGAAGAGATTAGGGACTGGTTTACCAAGCCCAGGAAGGGGAGAGAGTGGAAAGAAAATCCTGCCCAGAAAAGGAAAGGGGAGCTACTGCGACAGGAGAAAGTGGGGGGCAAGCAGATGAAGTGGGAGGGAGCCTCTGGAACAGGATTTGGGGCGTTGCTGGGTGGTACCAGGAGAGGGCAGCATCACCTGTCAGCTGGGAAACTGAGGCAAGAATACCCTGTGGAGGCCATGCCAGCAGCCGAAGTCAGTATTGAGGATGAAGGCAGCTCTAGCTATAAAGCGTCAGAAGGAAGAGAGAGGCAGACCTGCTTGGGCTCAGGGCTGGCCCACTCGCTTGAGGGACAGCTTCGTGGGCAGCGTCTCTGGGGGACACTGACAAGCTGGACGAAGGACCTGGCATGCGCTGCTGGGCCCCTCAGCTGGAAGGGGCTGCGTGCAGACTTGGAGGGTTACCATGGAAGGAATTCCCTTTAGCAGGAATCATTCTACCTCCTTACAGGATGTCACAATTCAAGGAACAAACACCAAAGACATCCATGCCCCCCCTCCCCCCCGAAAGATTACCCCCCACCCCCGCCCGCGAGGCGCAAACCCTGGAGGAGGAAGCAGGGGAGGAGACCACCAACCGCGGGTCTCCAGCAGCTCTGGTCACCCCACCCACTCCCGCCCCGAGTTCCTCCGTGTTTTCAAGTCTCAGGCTCGGTTTTGCTCCTGTGTCCTTGCGCTCCACCAAGTTTTCTGGAACCGTAGTCTTTTGTTAGCGGTCGGTGAGGAAGGAAGGGAAGGGGTGTGAGGTAGGAGAGTCAAGATGCAGGGGCCGGAAAATGTCCGGTTCGGAGCACATGTCCTGGGCTGCTTTTCAGCAGGTCACAGAGTCTAGACCTCCAAAGCCAAGCGGTGGGGAGGCAAGGCTGCTCTCCCTCCTGCTTGTTTGTCCCGCAGACTCCGCTCACTCCCCTGCTCTGGCTGAGTCTGCTTTCCACCCAGGACAGGGCCGGCTACCCTCCGCCCCCAGGGCGCCTGGGGCCAACACTGCCTCACCCTTCGCCCATCTCCAAAGCCACCGCCGGAGAGAAGAGGGGAGGGCGCAGGAGGGCCTCGAGGGCAGAGGTGGCAGCAGGAAGGCGGGGGGGGG